TTGGCAAGGCTGGTGTGACACCAGTGCCCTGACCCCTGCTGCCGTGCTGGCCCCAGGGTCCCCACCACGCCGGCCCCTTGCAGCTGTGGGACTCCAGCACACACCCCCTGTGCCCCTAACACACCATCCTGTGCCCTTAATTCACTGGTGGGGGAAAATCTGATAGTCCCCAGCCCCGGTCCGCAGGTTGTCACAGCTATGTGTCCCTCTGGATTTTGTCTCAGTGGCTGGGGGCGGGGCTTACAGCCGGGTTGGGGAAGCTGACATTGCACGCTCCTAGCTGCTGTCTCAATTTGAAGGGATAAAAATAGACCTGCCCCTCGCACTACCCCTTCACTGCAAAAGAGATTTTGCAATCATTGACCACGGCCCTGCCGTGACTGACAAGCACATATTGACGCACACATGTGCCTATCGAAAGCCCTAGCGATTTGCTAATATTTATTAACAGCTATACGGTCTCCACGGGGCAGAGATCCCAGTTTCCCCATGTAGGGCGCTGGCTGGCATTGACGGGGACTCGGGCGCGGGACAGGATGCTGCGAGAGCGCTGCAAAGGGCACCAGATGCCAGGGGGCTCGGGATGGGATCCTGTTGCGTTGAGCTCACCCCTCTTAGGAAAGCAAGTTATTTTTTGATCCGCTCCCGAACGCTGAAGTCCTGCGGGATCGGGAGGGAAAGCAGCGTGGCTCCCTGCACATAGGCAAAGGTCTTGCTGCAGCTGTGCTCACTCAGCCTTTTTGGGGGTTGCAGTGGGGCTGGGGAGCTGTGCTGGGGAGGGGGCTGTGACTGTGGGTCCCTGAGAGCCAGGGTGACGTGGGACCCGTGAAGGTGTTGCTGGGCTCAGCCCCGGGCTCCTGCGGTGCTACCACTCATATTTCTCTGCATTTTCCACCCAGGGATGGATGGGAATGCCAGCACCAGGGCCATGGAGGACCAGAAAGTGGTGAGTCTCTTGGGGGCTGCTGGCCACCCTCTGAGAGGTGAGGTGGGGGCTGCTGACAGGGACCTGCTTCATGGCTGATAAATATAGCTGCTTTGCTTTAGGAAATGCTGCTTCATCCCTTAGGCAAAGCGTAAGCACTTTTTATTGAGACGGGAAGGGGTAGCAGGGGGTCTGGCTCGGGGGCAGTGAGGAGGGCTAGGAGGGAGGAGGACATGCAGGCATGGACCACCCTCTGCACACAAAAAACGCGTCCAGGGGGAGGCCCCTGCCGTTGAGAGCTGTCACGGTCCAGGGCGACAATGGGGGAAAGCCCCTGGCCTCCCTCAGAGCACCCATGACCATCAGCATGATCCCTCCAGGGATGAACCCCAGCTTTGCTTTGCCACCTGGAGTCACCCCAGCTGCCACAGCGGGCAGCAGCCTGGGGCTGTCCAGTGTCCCAACAGGTCCCACCATGGCTGTGCCCCTCCCTGCCCTGCTCCTGCCTCTCCTCCTGCCCCTTGTCCAGGGGCAAGGGGCTGCTCCAAGACCATCTCTGGT